GACCCCTTCAACAATGATATGGCTCCTAGAACTTTACAAATTGAAACATTAACATCCAATACCTTAAACATTACAATGAAAATTGTTTGATTTCTTCGATAATACTCTGCGTTACGATATTTGTTGTTGCTTTATACACTAATTTCAGTTAGCATGCTATTTTTAACTAATTCAATTGCATAAATGAAAATACGTAATTATTAATATATTGGAAAAATCAATATCCTGAATGGATCTAAAAGAGAGATGCAGTAATTTGTCAATGATAAAATCAAGTTTGTTATCCAGTATCTACGCTTATTTTCAGAGCAATTATTTTGAAATTTCAGGTTCATAACTCGAAAAATGCAGATTTGAATTGATCTCAGGAGCCATGGTTCCAAGAACGTACGAGCCTTCGAAACTAATCGTCCATTTTGTATGTGCTACATTTGGTAAAGATTTCCTTTTCCTTATTAGTCAATTCACACGCGTAATAGGCTATTGTTTTGAATATTCTATGGATGTTAAAGGATTCCATTGTTAACCTGGATCATCACTACCAGAAGCGATTATATAATGTCGAGCATTAACCAAAACGTAACAAAACAGGAGCTTTTATTATGGCGTTTCCACGACGCGATTTAAACTTACTCTAAAATAAAGAGTGTCCGCATGCACTATACATAGCCTTTACGTAAGTAACATGATTTAACGGGGCTTACTTGGTGCTTGTACGCCAAATATGTATATAGAACATCTTACTTCAAATTTGGCAAAAAAATTTTTTAAAAAAAATTGTGAATTACGGAGTTAATTATGAAACGCCGATTGATAAGGACAACCGCCACATTAAGATATACTGCATCTGTTGCCGAAGAATTGTCGCCCGTTTATGTCAACTCATTTTTTGTGGGGAATCCGAGGTCACGTGCCAAGTACATATTATGTGCGCGCCAAGCTTTCCTGTACGTCGAATGTTAAAACTGTATTTACATGCGTGCGTAGATAACTTGTAAATCATTGTCGTCATCTTAAGCGTGAAAAATCACATAACAGGAATCTCTATGCAAACACACACATATACTTGGTGAACAAATGCTCGGGGTTCAAATCTTGCTTCCAAGATTCTAAAAAATGAGCACAAACTTCTGTTCATAAATGATTGGATCCTTACAAGTAAAAAAAAATAACTCCAAAAAAATAACTCAAAAACATATTATTACATAGTGCTGATTAACGTGCATGTAAAATGTGGGAAAAACTTTATATCATCATCATACTGGTAGCAAAGTAATATATGTAACTCTGTGTGACAAACTCGGGCTAAAAAAATTTTTTTTCGGCGCGAGAAATGTAAATAAGTGCATATGCGTAAGGATACACCACATTTGTTAATTTGCGTGAAACAAAGCTTTACTGTTATGAAAATTGGCTGTTATCTACGTGCAGATATTTTAGATATTTCAAAATTCATATACTTGAAGATATGCCTTATGTGTAAAGTGACGTTTTTCATTTTATCCAAATTTGGACCTCGGCGTCTCGCGCAGTAAATCACCCTTGAGGAATAGGAACAGTGGTGAAGGAATATTCTGCAAATGCGGTGTGGCTCATTTGCATTTTTAAAACCAATGAATGTTAGAAAGATTGTAGATAATTGGTTGTGATTGATAAAAACCGATCTTCAAGTTTGGTCCATTTACCACAATATTTTTATTGAACTGAATCTTGGATCATCATTTGTCGCTACACATCTATTTGCACAAAATTCGGATATATATCTTCGAGATCCATTTCTATTTGTTTTTGTTTTTTTTTTTTCCTTTTACACTTCTCAAGAAATTATTACTTTTTGACAAAAAAATTTTGTGTTCTCCTTTTCACCCTTTGCTAAATCAAAATGTCGAGCGGTGGCTCTTCTAGCAATGATTCTGCAGCACCAATAAACATCCCGTCGTCGCTTCGAAATAGGCGTGCGGGAGGTGTCTCGTCCATAGCACATTCTGTCGCAGACGCACTACAATCATGGTCTCAGAATTCGACTCAAATTATGAGGTAGGAGAACTGAACATGTCATTTTTTAAATAATTTTGAGGTTCGTGCCATGCTAATTTTACTAAATTTTTTGTTTAGCACCTATATGTCCGATAACATCGCGGTGCCATCTTCGGTCGTCGGAGAAGCTCTCGAGCAAGGATATCTTTCACCGGCAATGTCTCACCGTTATCCATATCTTTCTCCAGCACAAGTTCGACTGCCTGACTCATATCGCTCTGGGAATCGTTCTCTATATGGATCTTATATCCCTTCGAGTGTTGCCCCTAGTCTCGCGCCGATTAGCGGAAGTCCGATTGACGACAGACACCCATGGATAGGTTCCGCCCACGAGAAACACAGGCGACCTATTAGAGAACATACTCCCCTCATTAGAACGTCGTCAAAGTTGGTAAACTCCTGATCCTCTAACCATGAAATTATTATCAAAAATTCATATTATTATTCCACATATCAAAAAGGACATCTATGACATCCGTACCACTATCTACGATACAAGATAGTGTTCCCGCGTATGTTGGATCAACTTTTCGGCAATCGGTCCTCAATTCTTGTAACATTTTAATCGGCATGTAAAATTTCGTGAATATAATGTGAAAGAACGAATTTCCGTCCTAACAATGTAGTTATAATTATAGGTATTGGTATTCTGGCGTTGCCTCTTGGGTTCCGTTTCGCTGGATGGGCGATCGGGTTAACTTTATTCTTCTTTTGCCTGGGAGTGACAAATTATACCGCCAAAGTACTTGTAAAATGTCTGGAGTACGACGAGAATCTCCATACTTATGCCGATATGGGTGAGTTGTATATTATACGTAAATCGTAATGTCATAATTTATACGTCACGTGATAACCCGTAATTTAAATTATCAGGCGCCATCGCTTTTGGAGAAGGCGTTCGACTTATAATATCTATATTATTTTCACTCGAATTGCTCGCCTCGGCTGTCGCCGTGGTTATTCTTGTCGGCGACTCCTTACATACGATATTTCCAGATGTGTCCTTAACCGTTCTCAAACTGATTGCCTGGGGGGTTATGGCTCCTTTAACATTGATGGCCATTCGTTACTTATCTTATTTCTCTTTGCTGGGTATCGTTTCCGCAATCTCATTGATCTTTGTCTTAATAATTGATGGATTTACGAAGACCGAAAGACCAGGAAGCTTGATAGATCCCATGCCGACGGAACTATTTCCAACCGTATGGAGTTCAGTCCCTATGAGCTTTGGATTGATAATGGCCGGATTCACGGGTATCAAATCATTTACAACATACCGTATATTCATATTTACAGTATATTCGTGTACTTTATAATTGAATGATTGCGGTTTTCCCACAGGACATGCTGTATTTCCCTCAGTGTATCGCGATATGCAAGAGCCTCAAAAATTCACTAAAGTGGTGGACGTCACATATTTTGTGACAACGTCTGTATACTTTCTTATGGCATGCTGTGGTTACCTTATGTTCGGTCTGACAACCATGCAGGAGGTGATTTTTCAATTTTAAGTTTCATAAATTTCGATAGCACAGCACATCTAACTCTCTTCTGAATTTTAAATTTCAGGTTACGCAAAATATCATGTCAACTCCGGGATACTGGAGATTTCTCAATCATTTCGTTATATGGGTTGTGGCTATAAATCCTATTGCCAAATATGCACTCATAATCAATCCTATCAATTTGACATTGGAAATCACCTATAATTCCATTTCATCAGTTGAAAATTGGTTTAACAAAGGACGCGGTCGACGTTCCGCCGTTAGGATCCTGACACGCATGTTAGTGTCACTGTTGGTGGTAATGATCGCAATTCAATTCCCAGGATTCGACCGTGTTATGGGAATTTTAGGCTCTTTCTTCTCATATACCATCTCTGCTGTATTCCCTTGCATATGCCATTTGAAATTATACGGACATGAGATGAAGTGGAAAGAATACATCTTAAATTTAGCAATCATTATCATATGTGGATGCCTATCAACCCTCGGCACCATTTGGGCGTTTTTACCCGGCAAGGACACCGATTTATGAGCCAGGAAATGTGCAACATTTAAATATCTTACAACTTTAAGGACATTTGCACCAAAAAAAAAAAAAAAAAATATCATAGAGTATTGCATAAAAGGTAAAAACATACTGCAAAAGACATAACTCGTTCAAAACCGCTTTCAAAGAAAAATTCATATTTATTTAAAATAAATCCAACACATACCATATTACGTAAATATTGGTCTTTGACCATGGCATGATCTTCACACGAAATAACTATAGTTTCATAGTTTTGTAAAAAAAAAAAAAAAAGAAATCAACATTTTTATTTAAATAAAACAAACCGTTTTTATTTTAAAGTTAGATATACATTTTTCTTTAATATGCATGGAGAAACCTCCTAAATGCACTTCTCCTGGGACCAACCTTTAAGCGTGCATTCAGAGAGGATGTCCACCTGGGAGAGTAGGAAAATTAATTTAAGTTGGCGGGAATTAAAGATGTGGATAGCTTACAAAAGTTTAATAATCGTCTTTATTGAGATTTAAAAATATTTATAATATTACATGAACTTTCACATGACAATTAATTTGCTTTGTACATTTTTTTTTTTTTTTTGCTGACTCAGCCTTGTTTATTAGCTTTGATAAAGTAATCTGCAATACATATTGTAGGGATTACAAAAGAAGACAGAAAGTATTCTATATATCATTTATGCTACTAAACTTCCTAAG